AGCTTTGAGAGAACTTTCATGATCAATCATTATAAAACATATCATATATATTATTCTGAAATGGACCAATCTGCACAATGACTACTTTTACTGTCGCTACTTTCACTATATTTGATGATAATACTTTTCTACTTTCACTTGAGGAACATTTTGAATGCAGGACTTTTACTGTAACACAAGTACAACATCTGAGTACTTCTACTTTTACTCAAGTACCAGACCTGAGCACTTCTCCCTCCTCTGGTCATTTGTTATATAAATACGTCCCTATTTCTATCTGTGAAGATTTGCTGTTATTCTTTGTCTCATATAGAAAATCGAATACCTTTGCCGAAAAACTGCAATTACTTTCAAATGATTTGGTCGAAAAAGATCCCCTTCACAGTTTCTCAAAGTCTTAATGTCTGTATTTAAATAAAGTATTCCCTATATTTTTGATATAAAACCGAGAAAATCCAAGGAAATCTTCATAATTGAGACATTTCTGCATTTAAAAACTACTTTAACGATTAGTCGATAATCTAATTAGATGTCCATTAGTTTTCTTCTGATCGACTTATTGATTCCTCAGTCCGTTATAAAGCTCAAATTAACATTTTAAAGGGCAAAAGTATTCAGATTCATCAATAACACAAAACATCTGTAGCATACTGAATGTGTGCACTCTCTTCATCAGTCACTCATGCAGACACTCATTTGATTGGTCCTTTATTAAAGAAACAATAAAGCACATTAATGCACAGTGATCATCATCATCATCATGAAAACACATTCAAGTACTGGAGGTTAAAATCGGCAAATCCTATATCACCTTTTTCTACGTTTTCACTCTGGAATAATACTTTTTTAATTTGTTTACGCTGACAGACGAGTCATAACGGGATGTTTGTCCAAGTGTCTGATAACGTCTCGTTGGAGAAATAACGTTACCTGTGGTCCCAAACTAAGCAGAGGAAATACACCGTGATTTACTTTAGGGCGAGTTAATGATGTAACTTCAGGTTTTATTTGTATATTATGCTCACTTTCATCTAGTTCACGTGAGCATAGCTAAAGGCAGTTCTGGTGTTGAAAGCTGCTACGTGAAGGTTTGTATTCTCCTAACGTTAGGAGGAGACTCTGTAATTGAATGCAGCACAGCTTGAATTAGCACTAAAGTCCTGTTAGCTTACAATTCATCTTGAGATCGAATATGTAGAGGCAATGAGAAGTGCCGCAAACAGCAGCAGCAGAGAAACACCTGTAATCAGATCATTACAGAAATCTAATCACTCAATCGTCCCAATTAGCTTTCTTTTGTTTTGAATGCATTCAAATCCAAAGTTTGGCAAAAGTCAGTGCTCTTGAGTACCTGAAGAAGCTCTCATAACGGTCAAAAATGTTGAACGCTGGACACTTCTAACACGCAACGGGCGCAATATTTGATACGCAACAGAAGTGGAAATAAAACGTATTAGTGTGTTTTCACTATATAACAAATGTACACTGCACTAGACTCGTAAAAAAACCACCAATAATTTTCTGGGTTGATTAAGAGGTCTGTAATGATTTGGATCCCTGACGATGCTAACTAGCTAGCTAATAGCAGCCATGGTCACTTCCTGTGAGGACAAGTGTTCAGTCTACGACATACAGAGTAGCTAGAGAAGTGTCTGAATTGAGACAACACGAGTACTCATTTATTCTGTGCACCTGTCGACCCTAAAATTAAATTTGGAGTTTAATCTCAGATCAAACGTACGTTGAAGGGTCTTCAACATGTTGTCTTTAGTGGTTGTAATGATCTGTTAAATGTCTGTTTCCTTGTTCCTTGTGTTCATGTGTCCTTGTTGATATTGCAAATGGAGCTGCTGTGATGCGAGAGACATTTCATACTTGATCTGACAATAAAGTATCATGGTATGGTATAATGAGTCCCAGTGCATGTCCCACCTCTCTCAAAGGGTCTGACAGTGGTTGTAATGTAATAATAAATGTCTGTTTCCTTGTTCCTTGAGTTGATATGTGTTGATATATTGACCCAGGATCTTTCTCAGTGTATCTGTTGGAGCTGTTTTGACTTTAACTGGATTACTTATTTTTCGGATGTGTTGGAATACTTTCACTTCACGTTTTATCTAGCGCTCTACACATGTGTTGCTTTTAAATGTTTTGTGCTGTGTGAAGTGATGCAGCGTTACAGCGTGGTTTGGAAACTAAAATGTTGTGATACGAGACATTTCATACTCAATCTGACATCAAATCCTATCATACAGCCTTAGAAGACATTTTCAAAGACATAATAGCTCTAAAGATTTTATACTTTGGGAATTTGCCACAGACATGGTTGAGAAATACTTATTGAACTTTCTGATCTTTTACTACAAACTGGGAGAAGAGGACTCGGTTGTAAAGACATGTCCACTCCCTAATTGTTCACTGTTCTTTTATTTGATCTTCATGTGTTCTCTGTATGTATTTCTCATCTGTGTTTTCTGTGTCATGATGTGTCATTGCTGGAAAGAACTATGAACAGGTGTATGTCCTTCGTGTGAAGATGCAATGTACAATATGCGGTGACAATGTTTGACACTCAATGCCAATACAAAGTCAATCCTCCGATATAACTGGTCCCGGTGCATGTGAGCGCCTCTAAGCGTTCCCTCTGAGCAGCAGGTAGACGGCCGACACGGTGATGGCGGTGGCGCTGAACGTAAACACGGCGTTATAAACATTATTTGTCCTGATCCGTTCTCCCAGAGTTCTCTGAGTCTCCTCCAGACGCCTCACCAGCACCTCAGACTCCCATCGGTCCTTTCTCTCCGTTTCCTTTCTTGTTTCTAGCAGCGGCTGTGGTGTGGTCTGTGGTTTGGTCTGTGGTGTGGTCTGTGGTTCAGTCTGTGGTTTGGTGTGTGTCTCAGTGTGTTTGTCCTCCAGGAGCTTCTTCACCACCATCATCCCCCCCTCCATCCTCCCCACCCCTTCCTCCATGTTCCCCAGTTGAGGCAGCAGCTTCTCCAGCAGTGTCTCTGTCCTCTTGCTGCTGATGTGGAGCTCCTTCAGGGCGGAGAGAGGCACGGAGGGAGGATCTGATGTCGTGCGTTTGTTGTCCTGCAGGAGGACGACGTCCCGCGGAGAGAAAGCCTCGCTCAGAGCGAGTCTCAGGCTGTCGATGAGCGAGCGAAACTCGTTCTGCTGCAGGCGGTGATTTCCTGCCTGGACTTTGAGAGCTTCCTGAAGACTCTCCGGACCTTTCTGAGCCTCCAGCAGCAGGTTCTTCAGCTCCTGAAGACCAGAGGAGAGGAGGAAGAAGTGTCAGTGGAAACAAGAAATACAAAGTCCTTGAGATGTGCTTTACTAGAGAACACTTACGGCCCGTCTACACAACAGGCATCAAAAAATCTTGAAGCAGGGCGTGTCTGAAGCTTGGCGATTTTTTGCGAGCAACGCGACCAACAACCAATCACATGAATGTCCCGCCCCCGACATACAAAGCAATAGCAATGTTAAAACGAAGTAAACTGGAAATAAATAAACTCTCCAAACAGGGGAAAACCTACCAGTTTCACCCACTGTCTCTGCCACCTCCCTCCATGCCTGGTTCCTCCGGTTTGTATCCCGGTAAATAGTTCTGGTCGTAAAGAACCGGGTGATTTGCTACCGTAATATCTCGTTTGGAATATGAGGAAATGAACTCTGGCTCTCCCAGCTTGCACGCGGTTTGANTGAGCCCACTGTGCTCTGATTGGTCAGCTCGCCCACTATGTTCTGATGAGTCAACCACTGTTACAGCGGAACATCAGTGATTATGTGTTACAATGGCGTTTGTTTGCAACCAGAAAAAGACCCCAGTAATGACAAACAGATGAGAATGCTGCGTGGGGTCTGTGTGCCGTGTTGGCGGGACGTTGTGCGGCTCGCTGCGAGGAGCGGACAGTGTGAGCTGGGTTCATTTCCTGCTTGCTGCGTGGGGTCTGCGAGACAGCGAGACAGCGCGAATGGACGCGGGAAGGGGGGGGGGTGGTTGAGGGGGCTGTAGCACCCCAATCTGCGAGGCTCCACTATCACCCCCGCCCAGCGCGTCACAGTTTCACCACTGAGAGAGTGTATGTGAGGAGCTCCATGGATTGGTCCATTTGGACCAATGGGTCCATTTGGGTATGGTCACGTCACTGTACCCAGGAAGAAAAAGAGAAATGTCCAACGAGGCGTTCTGGGGCAGCATAGACAGGTCTTCTCTGTGTTAGAGTTTTACTCCCTACAGGGTGTACTTTGAGGGTTTGTGACTCTGCAGACCGTTCACATGCAGATAACCTTCATAACACACAAGGGGACGGGTCATAACCAGAAAAGCATGACATGGGACCTTTAAGAAGTTAAATACACTTTTTGTCACCCAACAGTTTGGCATCACAATGTGGGTTTCCCCATTTAAGCTTTTGCATGATGACTGCCTCATGTATCCTACATTTGGAGCATTAAAAAAGAATGCAAAGGTTTGGATTTAAAGCAAGTATACCTCACCTTAATCACCTGACTTTTTGATTGATTTCTTGCCCTTTAAACTAGTCGTTTTTATCTATTCATTTGCACGATGGCTGCCT